GGAAATGACTTTTTATGTAGGCCTTTAATGATTAGTTGAATTTTAAGAAGAAAACAAAGGGAGATGGGCCTTCCAGGCTTCCAGATTTGGAGAATACTAAGTTAAGCTATGGGGCATGGAAAGTTATAAGTGGAACAATAGTTATGGGTTGGAATGGAAATAGGACTTGCAAAATAGTTTGAGTCTAATTTGGGTGAGAGTGAGGGAGGGATTGAATTTTGTTTAGTAGATATGCTAAATGCGCTTGATACTTTTGAGTTGGTCAGTAATGTGGTCAGGTCTATGAAATATATCTGGTAGAGTTCATGTAATGGATTGGATTTAGAAGAAGATTAGAAATAGGAAGACCAAATGGAAATCCAAGATGAGAAATGGTATAATAACCAAGGCAAAAGAAAGGATCTGAATAAGTTAGTAAGAAGATAAACAAAGAGGTAAATATATACTTTGTAGAGACTGGATTTGTAGGTGTTGTGTTCCCTATAGATGTAGAGGTTGAGGGGGAATACTTAGAGATTTTTGGACTGATTTACTGGATTATTACATTAACTGACATGAGGGGCAGGATTCAGAGGATGTTTGCAAAGGTAGATAATTCAAATGAGAGGAGTCACTAGGCTATTTCTGTGGAAATATTTTTAAAACAGTTAAAATTAAAAATATGGGCCTAGAGCTGGGGCAAGGTAAAAAATGGAGTTTCTTCAACCCAGTGGGTGAATATGGCTGCCCAAAGGAAGACAAGCCAGGAAAGTAGACTGTCAGGGAGAAGTTAAATAGGCAGTAGAAAAGAAATTATCATGGATGCAAAGAGAAGAGTGTTTTAAGAAGATGATATCATGTGATGACACGAAATGAGAAATGAACACAATCTATTAGTAAAGGATTTTATATTGTAGAACAATACAAATGACCCAAATTCTCATCAGTAAGGGGAAGACACACCTTAAACTACAGTATATACATAAACTGGATTACAACTGTTGGAGAATGAGTTCAAATAAATATGCATTAATCAGAAGGTAGCCCAGATAAAATACATGAATAAAATTGCAATATGTTATGATAATGTAACCTTGGATTTTTAGAAAACTAATGGTATATATGTTAGTTTTTATGCATAGAAAAAAATGTGGCAGAACTGTATACCAAATTGTTAATAATGTCTCTCTTGGAGTGTGAGATTTAAAAGAGTTTCACATATGTGTTTTTAATGTATAGGAACTTTTTTTCAGAAGACTTTTTAAATATAGCATAATAAGTTATAAATAAAATATGGTAATGAAAACCACATTGGTTTAGGGTTAAATTAATGTGGAGAAGCGGAAATGGAGCCAGTCAGTGTCTTTGGGTAATAATTTGTAGTAAAGAGAAGGAATGAGAAGATAGGAGCAGTGAGGATTTTTAGGCTAGAGTGCAATTGACTGATCAGTTTTAAATAAACCAAGTGGGGGGCCGGCTGAGTGGCTCAGTTGGTTAAGAGCTCGCTCAAGAGTTTGAGCTCTGAGCAGCAGGGTCCCCGGTTGGATTCATGGCCCAAGCTGAGCTGCCAACAGGTGGCAGGGTGGCTCAGCTAAAAAAAAAAAAAAAGAAGAACAAAGATGAATCAATGACATAAAAAACAAATAAATAAATAAATAAACCAAGGGAGAGATGAGTGAGAGCAAAGCAGCTGAGAGGGACAGCAAAATTTGTTAACGTAAATCCTTGAAAAAAAAAGAATGTGTGTGGCATCCATTTTGAGAAGAAAGTTGATGCAACTCAGCTTACATACCTGTATTTCAGGTATTCAAAGGTTAACTGGTAGTAAAGAGGTCTAGAATTGATTTAGGGGCTTGAAAATTGTTGCAACATTTTAAAACTTGTTTTGTATAATGAAAAGAGTCAAATAAGGATGCCTGAAGATGGTAGAAAAAAATTGTAGTCCCAGTTAAGTCCTACAGTTACAGTTGTTCAAAAAATATTAGGATGTGGATAGAAGATTAGTGGTTCCATTTCTGAAGCTTTGCTTTTGAGATGTTTGTTAGACACCTAAAAATTGCTATCCAGTATTTTGGATATATGTTCTTGGACTTTTAGGACAAAGGTTTGGGCTTAAGTTATAAATGGAATCATCAGCATAGAAATGGTGTTTAAATTTAAGATGCTTGCTTAGATCACCAAGAAATTAGGTAGAAAGGACCAAGATTAGGGCTGTGGAGTATGCCCATATTAAGAGTTTGAGAAGGCATGGGCCAAAGAGATTGAGGAGTAGAAACCAGTGAGCTAGGAAGAAAATTAGAGGAAAGTATGGTGTCTTGACAGCAAGTGAAGAACATGTATCAAGGAAGTAGTAATTAACTGTGTTAAATGAAGTAAAATGAAGACCGAAAGTTGGCCATTGGCTTGGCAATACAGAATTTGTTGTTGTCTGTGATAAGCAGTGTCAGTGGATTGATCACAGCATGAGCTTGATGGGAGTAAGTTTGAGACTGATGGGAAGAGAGGNTATCAGTTGTCACACCTTGATTGTTACTTATAAGTTACTTCAGAATATAGTATTTGAAAACTTTGTTCTAAGTAAGTTACTTGTTTCTGTAATGATTGATTTACAACAATTATATACAAAGTGCTTTTACTAAAAATACTTCAGTCCAGTCTCTCTTTAATAGAGTATGAATCAAAATAATTTATTGTGTTTGTAAGGCCTTTTGAATAGCAGTCAACAAAAGAGCAATAAAGTTACGTTGTGTTAATGTATCATGTTCAATTTTTCTGCATTATGTCCAGCCATTTTATTTGGGCAACTAATAAATTTTATAATAAAACTTACCTTTGAAGGATAAATTTCAATTAAGTAAATTCCCTGTTCTTCCAAAGATGAAGGTTGAGCAAGGAGATTTAGAACTTGTTCTTTTGTCAAATAGGTTATATCTTAATTGATGACTTAGAAATTATACTTATGCCATATGTATTATTTTATAGTTCATAAGCCCAAATACAAATGTAAGCTTAACAGAAACAGTGGTAAATAGCTACGTTTTTACATTTAAAAAAAAAATTTTTTTTTTACTTTCCCTCCCCCCCAATGTAGAATGACCAAACTAATGGAACTAGCAAATCTTCAGCCTAAAAGACTGAAAACAGTAAAGCAGCGCCATGTGAGAAAAAAACGAAAAATAAAGGATATGCTGAATACACCTCCATCTGTTTCACACAGGTAATTTTGTTTTGGAGTATGAAATAGGCATTCTGTATGTACTTGTCTGCTTGCTTAACTTACATTATTTAAAAACAATTATGGTAAAAATTTTAGTTGCCTGTTTGCTATAAAATTCTACATACCGTATATTAATATCTTAATTGGGTATAATCACCATTAATTGTATTTTAATTTCATTTAGCTTATATATAATATAAATTTCCCTTGAACTTAAGTAACTTAATAAATTGAGAAAGGCATTTGTTTAAATTACCTTTTTTCCATTTTAAAAGGAATGAGTCTTTTTATCTTTGTGTTTTTTTAAATTTTACATTAANTAAGTGAGATCAGTAGATGAAGAAACAAATTTTAAGATGAGACATGTGAGCATGTTTGTATAGTGATGTGGATGGTCCCATAGAGGACAGAGCACTAACTGTGGTAAGAACACCCCAGACACTTCTAGAGAGTAGATGAGAGAGTGTGGGATTTATATCCAAGGCAAGCAACTGGATTTAGAGAAAAATATGGATACTTAATATCGTGATAACACATGGAAGGTAGACCGTGTGATGCACATGCTGGTAGATGGAAGTTACGGTGGGAATCTGAAGTTCTCATCCGGCCACTTCAATTTTCTCAAAGTTGGGAGCAATGTCCTAGGCTAAAAGAAATGGGGCCGCGGGTGGGGGGAATATTGTGAGGTTGAGGAACAGAGAGATTGGTAATAAAAATAAACTAAGAATGTGGCATTAAGTTCCACCCCCAGACTTGTGGTTGTGGTTGTGAATATAAAGTGAGACTGAGCAGATTTGTTGTTTGTTTTTCTAGCCATTTCAGCTGCCTGGGAATAAGCAGAGTTGGATTTAACCAGAGTTCGTTTTGTTAAGTGATAGGAAGCAGTCTCTTAATAAGTAATAAAGGCTTCGCAGCCTGAGAGTTAGAAATGGGTAAGAAATACCCAAGGAAGTGAAAACAGTATTAACAAATCATTTTTGGTGCAGTTATCAACTTTTTTACTCTTTTGTTCTTCCAACTGAAGGCATTGACAAGACTCCATCAGCTGAAACTTTTAGGTCATACTTTAGTTGTTGAATTTGCAAAAGAGCAAGATCGAGTTCCTTCACCGTGTCCCCCTTCAAGCACTGACAAAAAGAAGAGGTACGTAGATAGTTAGGTTTTTTTCATAACATTTTAAAGTGGTTTTTTAATTAGTTGTATTGCTATTGAGTTGTTTTCAGACTAATAATAATTTGAAATGATAAATGTTATATCTCTCTAAATGAATGTAGTACATTAAAACAGTATATTTATTTATTTATTTATTTTTAACTAGACAAGCTGATTGTAAATTTGTAAGGAAAAATAACTCAACATGAATAATAAGGAAAACTCTAGATCGATGAAGGAAGATTAGTCTACTAGATAGTGTATTAGTCATGGTTACTCCAAAGTAACCAAACCAATAGGAGATACACACACACACACACTTTTAGTGTTAGGAGCAGACTTAAATGGGAACCCTCGCTTGGCCTAGGTTGACCCACCTTCCCCACTCCCTCTTCCAAAGGAAGATATGGGTTTTAAGCCAAAGATAAGTAATTAAGTCAAATATTTGTAGATAGTCCTTAAGACTGTGAACCAGAACAAGCCCTCCATTCTTATTAAAGTGAAAAGATTTTTTTCAGTTGCCCTTTAGCAAGAAATTTCCAGATTACTTTTTTTTAATTATTATTTTTATTGTGAAACACACACTTTTCAGAATTAGTTTCAGCTGTAAAACACAGTGCAATAGTTATAATTTTTACCCCTCGAGGTGACAACCCTCTCCCACATATGGAATAGATATGTATCATATTGGTGGGGGGAAGTGGGGCGGAGGATTGGGGGACAGTATATTTATTTTTGTTCTTAGTTTTGCATTAGGAACCTGAGTATTGATTTAATATTAGGAATTATTCAATATAAAGTGGGAACAGAGAAGGGTAAAAAGCATTCAACTTTAAGTGGAGAGAGGATAACTAGTATAAAGTCTTTGTTATATTACAGATAGCAGAGTATCATGAATAGGCATGGCCTTTAAAATCCTAAAATGGTATTTGGTTCTCAGCTATAAGTCTTTCTAGTTATACAACCTTTACAAATTTGTGGTACAGCAATGGTTCTCAAAGTCTAATCCCGAGACCAGCTGCATCCTCTAGGATCTTGATTGGAATGCAGATTCTTGAACCTTAACCCAGTCCTACTGAATTAGAAATTGGGGTGTAGGAGGTGGGATAAGGCCCCAGAAGTGTGAGTTTTAACAAACCCTCTAGGTAATTTTGATGCACATTAAAGAAATTTGAGTATCACTTTGTATACTATGTAAACTTCAGGGTCTTTTTTTTGGTCAGTGAGATTTATCATACTATCTTCATAGGGTTGGTGAAAGGTAAATGAAAATGTGCCATGCTTTGTATAATATCTGGAATAGAGAAGGTAGTCAATAAAGGTTGATTCTGTTTCCCTCCATTTTCATTGGTGTTTGTTTGAGAAATGCTTGAAAGTTTTATTTATTATGGAACTGTTTTCATAATGCCATGTTTGAAAAGATATTACGTTTTTTCTGTATGTGATTTTTCACTCTGTTTCTAAAGATAAGATTAACTTTGATTTTTTTCTGTCTTAGGTCAGATGACCCAGTGGAAGATGATAAAGAAAAGAAAGAACTTGGTTGTTTAACTATAGAAAATGGAATTGCACCAAACCATGGGTTAGCATTTATTGTTTGTATTTTGTTGTTCTTTTGGTTTTTGTTGCTCTGTGTACAAAGCATATCTTATTATATTGCAAAAATAATAAGATAATTTTTTAAAGGGATATTTTATGTCATGTATATTTTTAATCTGTTGATTAACATTTTGAGCTGTAAGAGTTTGTCACTGAATTCCGTTCCTTTAAAATGTTCAGAGCTATAAAATACGCTCTGATAAGAAATTTCTTATTTTTCTTTAATCAATCAGATAGCAAGTTTCTTTTTAAATGTACTTATTTGAATCTATTAAGAACAAGGTAAATCTCAGAGTACTACATTATTTGAACAATTTTTTGTATGTTATCAGGTAATACAAAATGAGTTTTTGATATGAAACTCAGTAAAAACATGATAAGCATTTTAAATATTTTTTTTTTTTAGGCTGAGTTTTCCTCTAAATTCATGCCTCAAGTATATGTACCCACCACCTTCAAGCACAATCCTAGCAAACATAGTAAATACTTTGGCAAGTGTACCTAAGTTCTATGTACAGGTAAGTAGAATAAAACTAACTTCCCTCAAAATAAATGCCTGTGTAACTAATACATTATTTTCCATGCTAATTCTCATACTTTTTCATAATAGTATTAATCAGACTAATTCCAACAGGCAGTGATATTATAATATTTTAAAGGTGCCTTAGTCAGTTTGGGCTGCCGTAACTTAAGTGCCAATAGACAGGTGACTTATAAACAACAGGAAATTATTTCTCACAGTTATGGAGTCTGAAAGTTTGAGATCAGGGTACAATCATGGTTGGACTCGGGTGAGGGCCCTCTTTTGGGTTGATAGCCATTTTCTCTTTGTATACTCACATAGCCTAAAGAGGATGAGAGAGCTCTCGGGTCCCTTTAAAAAGGGACACTAATCCCATTCATGGGGCTCTACCCTATGACCTAATTACTTCTTAAAATCCCCACCTCCTAATATCATCACATGGAGGCTAGTATTCAACATACTAGCCTTTGGGGGCTGGGGGGGTCACAAGTATTCAGTCCATTTCAAAAGGTGATGAAATATTCTATATTCATGTAAAGGCTTTTATAACTATACCATAAGCATACTGTTAGGTTTAGTATTAATAATACTAATAAAAATAAGGTATTTGGGGAAATATAATTTCTGGTATTTCTTTGTTACTTTAGCAAACACAGATTCTTTCTTAAAAGAAAAGACATAGCGGATCCCTTAGCAAATGCTTGAAAATACTGATAGTAGTAGGATGCTTTTTGAAGTACAAAATATAGATGATGTTTATTTTCTTTATTATACTTCTCTGCATTTCAAAATAATCGGGAAAAAACATCTGAGAAGATTTTAGATTGCAAGAACATGACATTTTAATGAGAATAATAAGATTTGTAGAACTGACAAACATTTTGGTAAGGCTAATCTTCTGAGATGTCTCAGTGCCTTGCTCAGGGATTATAAAGGCAAGAGGTGGGCCAGCCTCGGTACTAGATTAATCTGTAGTGTTGTTGCAGAGTTTTTAAGTACATAAAATATGTGAGTTGAATCACCATTTTACTATGTGATTTTTAAATGTTTTGTCACTTTAAGGTGCTTCATCTTATGAATAAAATGAATTTGCCCACACCTTTTGGACCAATTACTGCACGACCTCCTATGGTAAGAAAGCTCTCAGAATTTTCAAGATTCAAAATTTCTCCTCCTAAGGTGTGACTACAGAGGCTAAATTTTACAAATGTTGTGCCAGTGACCTCTAATGTTCATAGAAAATAAGGAACGAATATAAAGTTATTGTGATAATAATATTCAAGTGGAGAACTGAAAGTGGGAATAAGCCAGAACATGAAAGAGATGCTTTTGGTAATAGAAGCCATCATTTCTGTGCGTGTTGTTGTTTAGTCCTTTGATGCAGAGCATTGTGCCACCTTGTAAGATAATTATATTTAATAAACTTAATTATCTAAAATTTCCATTGTCCTGGTTTTGTTGCATATAAGGCTTCATTTGCAGAAGAAAGGCTTGCTAATTTTTTATTAGAATTTGTTATCCAGTTTATCAATAATTTAGATAACAGGCTATTTCTGCTCTTTAATAATTCTAGTTAATATTTTGCATAGTACTTTCTTAGATAATAGCGATGGGAAGTTATTTTGAATGCTAACATTTAAATAGAAAATTTGCTTTTCTATTGTGCATTGTGAATTGGCTCATTTTATAATGTGTATACTATTAACTTCATAATTCATTGTAACCCCAACACCTCAATACCTAGCACAGGGCAGGGATATTAGTTAAGGTTACAATAACTGCAATTAACAAAAAAACCCTCAAATCTTAGTCACTTAACACAAATATAAGTTATTTCTTGCTGATGTCAAGTCCATTCCAAAAGTAGGGCATTCAAAAGACCTAAGTTGTCTTCACTATGTACATTCCCAGGTTGATGAGGAAATTACGATGCAGCCTGCAGATCAAGAAGGAAGAGAGGATTATGTGTGTGGAAGTTTTTTGTGCTAACATTCCATTTGCTAAAGCTCAGTTACATGGTGAAGTCTAACTGCAAGGGAGGTTTGGAAATTTAATCCAGCGAGGTGCCAAGGAAAAAGAAACAAGTTTTTAGATTAGCTAGCAGTCTGCCACAGCAAGTGTTCCCTCAGTTTGTTTTGAACATGTAAAAGAATATGAAGTAAAGAGATAGGAGAATCATGTTTCTAAATGGAAATGTTTTTTCCTGTAAACATCATAAATTGTTTTTTGTTTTTTTAAAATTAGTATGAAGACTATATGCCATTGCATGCACCTCTTCCACCTGCATCTCCTCAGCCACCAGAGGAACCTCCTTTGCCAGATGAGGATGAGGAATTATCTAGTAAAGAATCAGAATATGAAAGCAGTGATGATGAAGACCGACAGAGGTTTGTAATTTCAAATAATATTTGTTTAAATCCAAGAAACAATACAATATGGGAAAGAGATTTTCTTGCTCTTCTTAAATTTTGCTGTAATTCTTTATAATTTGGGGACATTAGAATTTGTCCGTTCCTAGCCCCAGCCCCTTAAGCATATAATAGTAGCTATAAGGAAAAATTTTTAGATTATGAGTAAGTTTTTAGATTGATGATTATGATATTATAAAGTACAATTGATCCTTATTATTTGTGGATTCTGTATTTGCGAATTTGCCAACTTAAAAATTATTTATGACTCCAAAATCAGTAATTACAGTGCTGTTACAGTCTTTTGCGGATATGGGCATGTGCAGAATGGTGAAAAATTTGAGTCTTTTGACATGCACATTCGTAGATGAGGTAGAACAGTTGACATTCTGCCCTTTTGTTTCAGCTCTCATACTATAAGTAAGTGTCATTTTCATGATCTATTAGTACTACATTTTTCACATTTTTGTGCTGTTGGTGATTTGGCTGTTTTAAATGGTCCCCAAGCGTAGTGTTGAAGTGCTGTCTAATGTTTCCAAGATCAAGAATGCTGTATTTGTAATGTGCCCTGTGGATGAAATGTGTGTGTGAGATAAGCTGTGTTCAGGTGCGAGTTATAGTACTGTTGACTGTGAGTTCAATGTTAATGAATCAATAGTATATATTAAATACGGTGTCATTAAGCAGAAACACACATAAAACAAAATATGCATTGATCAGTCGATGAAATGTTATGAGTAGAGGCTTGCAGGTACCTANTGGTCTGTTGAACTGTTTAAAAGTATATGTACAACATGCTCTGTGTATGTATACCTTTATATGAAAAAGGCTATGTAGCTTTCATCTCAAAGAAGTTCTGATCAAAATGATTCAAAACCATTATAATGAAATTAGTAGTAATCAGTTAAATGATTTCAACTTTTCATCCTTTTGCAAGATTTTATTAAATGTGTCAAATCACTGTTAACTGGTAAAATATCAGACGTCCTTATGAGAAAATGAAATTGTAATAGAAATAATTTGTACCTTAATTCTTTTTCAGAAACATACAGCTTTTGCTACTTTCCCTAACGAAAAAGCAGCTATAAAGGTATGACTTCTTTAGTATTAAAGTTAGCAATTTTCTATTATCTAATCTGGGTTCAAAAATTAAACGTAATGTTAAACTATAGTTTTTAAAAGTGAAAGGGTTTGTATTTCAAGATTTTCCCCCACAGTCTACATTTGCTTTGTGAGCTGGCAGATCTTATCCATTGTTTTGGTATTTGGACATAAGAATGATAGATTAACTGGAGAGAAAATGAAAGTTGAATTATAAATCTCATTTGTAATTAAAAATAAGTTTTAAAGGATACAAAGATTGATAACTATCTCTGTAACTGTTGCA